GGGGTCGATCGTTCCCCCGGTCGTGGGCTTGTCCGCGGCCGCTTATTCATCCAATCCCGAAGGGTATGGCTTATTTCACGGCTACCCTGTATAACTACAGGGCGYTCCCCTATCCGCAACCTGGGGACGCGCCCGGTGGCATGCCCATGCCTCCCCGAAGGACGGGAACCTAACCTAACCTAACCTTTTTTTTTTTTTATATATTCAACTGCACCGGGGGAACTGCGTTAGCATTACTACCCCGGTGTAGCCATCGTTTATTGATGATCAATACAACACAAAGTAATCTTGGCAAGGACAGTCCCCTTGCTCAAGATCTCACAAAAAAACTTTACATCAAACTGGAGGGCTCTACCCCTCTTATTTTTGACCATATTGGTCTACAATATACAACTTAATACTACTTGTTTTGTAACTTCGCATATCACGTGTCGCCGCGTTGTATCATCCTTTCTTCTTCCTCTCGGAGCTTCATGATTCTAACGATGAGGCGTTGAACCCTCTGCCACGCTGATTTGGAATTCAACATGATACCGACGATATTATCCGGTGTGATGGAGTCTACTTCCAGGTATATGCAGGCTTCTCTTCGCCAACCATTCCACGCATCGCATTTAAAGACTGCGTGTTCTGGATCGTCCGGGGCTACCCCACATTGCGCACACGCATCGTGCGCCAGATTTGAATATTTATTCAAGTACTTTCCAAAGCAACCATGGCCCGTTAGTACCTGGCTAGTGTGAAAACACACTTCGCCRTGGTTCCTGTTGTACCATGAAGCGATATCTCTGATGAGTCGATGTGTCCATCTCCCYTTTAGCGATGCGTTCCACTGTTGCTGCCATTTAGACAAGAGCAGTCTCCTGGCAGCTCCTTTCTCCATGCCATCGTATAGATTTCTTCTCTCTTCTGCTAGGAGGTCCAGGGGGGGCATGCTTGATACAACCGCTGCGGCGTCGTACGAGGTAGTGCGGTAGCAGCAGGCGACCCTTAGCATGATCCTTCTATACAC